TGTCTCAAAAAAAAAAAAAGCTGTTTCACTGAAAGCTACAGATGGATTTGCCTGGGCAAGTGATGCTGTCACACACTTTCCTGTGTCCAGCTACTCCCCTGCAGAAATTTTTTTACAGAGTTATTCAATAGCCTTTCAGTGATGATGTGTCACAGAAATACACCTCAGCATCAAGGGTAGACATTTCACATTAACTACCCAATAAAGAAGAAATCACATTATTAAAGTTCTGCACTTTAAACACTTGCCAATGATTGGGAGCCAGTTCATTCTCTTGAAAATGAAGTTTTACACTGAACCCTGAAGCACAGAACAAAATAAAAGGCACTCTGGAAAGTATCAAAAGATAGATCCCTGAAAGCCAGCTTCCAAAGAGAAAATCTCTGAGAGAAGAGAAAAGCAAAAACGGGAAAGAAAAAAACTATCTTAAAAACATCATATCTGGGCCAGTCTGCATAGGCCCTCCGTTTTTAAATACAATGAAGTTCACCCAACTCGTGCTGTTTGCAGACAGAAGGGTCCTGCACAGCTGTGTCCAGTGGCTGAAGCTGGGGTGGAAATGTACTCCCACACCAGAGGAGGCCTCCACCTCACTGTACTTTTCACCTAAGAATCTGGGCTGCTGCCTCTGCCTGGAGTCCTTAATGGCTCAACAAGAGACCAGTAAGAGCAGGGGCAGATGCCATTGTAGCCAATTTCACTTTGAAGTCACACTGGACCACAGGGGAAGAGCTAAATATAGGAGGAGACAGAGTACAGTTCACAGCTGCACTGGAGAGAGAACAGAGCAGCTGGGGCTCGGCCTTCTTGCTCCTGGTGGTCAGTCCTTCCCCAGCCCCTAAGCACATCTGCTGGCATCGCAGCACCTTCCACAGCACAGAATCACAGAACACTGAAGACGAAGTGACCTCAGAAACTGTTTCCCCACTCTCTCGTTTTGTGGGTTTTGCAAAGCATAGTCATGTGCCCCATGGGGATATTGCAGTCAACAATGGACCACATATATGATGGTACACCCATAAAACCATAAAGGAGCATATATAGAAATCTGATGCATGGCACTTGATATTGGCAATGCAGATGAATTAGGGAAAATGACTGATATTCAGTAATGGTGCTGGGACATTTGGTTTTCCATATGTGTGTGCATATATATACATATATATGAATAAAAATATATATATAATCTAGGTTTGTGTAAGTATACTCTATGATGTTCACACAATGATGAAATTGCCTAATGACACATTTCACAGACCATATCCCATTGTTAACTGATGCGGGACTATAGTCTAGAATTCCGCTTTCTGGCTAGTTTACAAATCCACAGCAAAGCTCAGAACCAGAGAGTGTGCCCAACAGCACCAAAATGCCAAACGATAAGCATATATCCACCCACAATTCACTGACGGTGTCTACACTCAAATTCTTCTTTGGAGCTTATTCATTTCACATTCAAATCTAAGGAGTATGATGATGTCATCTGCAATGCTCTTGAAAACACTAAGTAGCACCTCAGAAAAGGTGGAGGAAATAAATCACTTACAGAGGAGTCTTTAAAACTACCAAGAAGTGACAGGTGCGAATTCAAGAGAAAAACTACAAGTAGCAGTCAAGAAAACTAACAGAATCCAGAAACCTGAAATCATCTCGGGGAACACTGGGGACATTGATGAATCAAATGGTGGTGAAAAACCTGGGTGCAGAAAAACAATAGTTTTTCATTCCACATGCACTTAGAATGTGTAATAGCATATGAATGAGATACTAGCACTAAGTCTTGGCATAAATATGAACATATATGTAATTTTATGTTCTAGTATTTCAAAATCTGAACCAAAACTATTTACAAAACTCGGTCAGCCAGAATGACTAATCGCCTGCAGATTTCAGGGCTTAATAAGTCTAAGAGACTTTACTTTATTGCAAGAATTGGCAGCCATGGCTTTATCAATAAAAATAACCTTAATTAGGAAGCCTATCTCTTCATCTTCCTTTTCAAAAATAACTAAATTCCACCTAGAGATCATCTTTGAGCGGTGTTCTATATAATGTGATGTCTCTGCATGAACACAGGCATGAAGGTCATGAGTTATTTTCACAGCAGAGACCAAAAAGCAGGTCTGAGATTCTCTGATTCCACTGGCTGGAAGGAAATAACTCATAGTGTTAACACTGATGCATACCTGAAGCCAAGGCTGAAATTCAAGGTGGAGGAGAGGAAAGGAGACACAACAGGGGACTAAGGTCTGTTGACAAAATACAGTCCTTTTATGTCATCAGTATGAGGACAGAGACAATTCACACTAAGTGACCAGGTGCAGTGTAAATGTCTGTTTATTTAGCTTTATTGCATCAGAATCGGTTCTCTGATTTACATGTTATCATAAAGTGATTATAAAAGACACTCTAAATCTGGATTGATGCAAAAACAGGAGGGGAGAAATCATTAATAGTCACAATTTACCTGGCAGACAAATTCTTTTAAGCCTATACTCCATGAGAAAAAGTAATAATAAGGCTTCACAGTGGTTTAACATTATAAGGAACTTAAGTGGACAGAGCGACCTCTTAAGGTCTGAGTTACCCACCCTCCCCAATCCACTCCAATAAAACAACTACAGTCAAAAACTACACAAATATTCTCAAGTCAGAAACCAATACTGATTAAACTAAAACCTAAAACTATGAAAATCCTAGAAGAAAACCTAGGCCATTCAAGACATAGGCATGAGCAAAGACTTCATGACTAAAACACCAAAACCAATGGCAACAAAAGCCAAAATTGACAAGTGAGATCTAATTAAACTAAAGAACTTCTGCACTAAGAAACTATCATCAGAGTGAACAGGCAACCTACAGAATGGGAGAAAAATTTTTGCAATCTATCCATCCAACAAAGGTCTGCTAACCGGAATCTACAAGGAACTGAAAGAAATTTACAAGGAGAAAACAACACCATCAAAAAGTGGGCAAAGGATATAAACAGACAATTCTCGTAAGAAGACATTTATGTGGCTACAAAACATATGAACAAAAGCTCGTCATCTCTCGTCATTAGAGAAATGCAAATCAAAACCACAATGAGATACCATCTCATGCCAGTTAGAATGGTGATCATTAAAAAGTCTGGAAACAACAGATGCTGGAGAGGATGTGGAGAAATAGGAACGCTTTTACACTGTTGGTGGGAGTGTAAATTAGTTCAACCATTGTGCAAGACAATGTGGTGATTCCTCAAGGATCTAGAACCAGAAATACCATTTGACCCAGCAATCCCATTACTGGGTATATACCCAAAGGATTATAAATTGTTCTACTATAAAGACACATGCACACATATGTTTATTGCAGCACTACTTACAATAGCAAAGACTTGGAATCAACCCAAATGCCCAACAATGATAGACTGCATAAAGAAACTGTGGCACATATACACTATGAAATACTATGCAGTCATAAAAAAGAATGAGTTCATGTCCTTTGCAGGGACATGGATGAAGCTGGAAACCATCATCCTCAGCAAACTAACACAGGAACAGAAAATCAAACACTGCATGTTCTTACTCATAAGCAGGAGTTGAACAATGAGAACTCATGGACACTGGGAGGGGAACATCACACACCAGGGCCTGCTGGGGGTGGGGAAGGGGAGGAAGTGGGGGAAAGGGGAGGGAAAGCATCAAACACCTAACGCATGCCGGGCTTAAAACCTAGATGATGGGTTGATAGGTGCAGCAAACCACCACGGCACCTGTATGTATATGTATATGTGTGTGTGTGTGTGTGTGTGTGTGTGTGTGTGTGTGTGTATAT